TAATAAAAGTCCTTGGGAAAGAGCTGGTGTCCTCTAGATGCAAGCACTTCCAGACACTGGTTGGAAAGCCTCAATTCAGGCCACTGTCTTGGGGCATGTTTTGGCTCCCTCATAAACCAGATTCACAGGCCCTCCACTGAAACCACAGTGGTGTTTCTGATCCTCCTCCTGAGGCTATGAAACCTCAGTACGTGCCAGACATTTCGCCAGGTGCTTTCACATGCTTTCTTTTTTTTTTTTTTTAAGGTTTTATAATTTTTTTTCATTTATTTTTATTAGTTGGAGGCTAATTACTTTACAATATTGTAGTGGTTTTTGTCATACATTGACATGAATCAGCCATGGATTTACATGTATTCCCCATCCCGATCCCCCCTCCCACCTCTTTCTTTTTGTAAAAATTAATTTGATTTATTTGTGTGCTGGGTCTTCGTTTGCTGCATGGGCTTTTCTCTAGTTGCAGCGAGCAGGGGATACTCTCTAGTAACCGTGTGTGGGCTTCTGATTGTGGTGGCTTTTCTTGTTGTGGAGCACACGCTCTAGGGCACATGGGCTTCAGTGTTGCAGCTCTGGGGCTCTAGAGCCCAGGCTCAGTAGTTGTGGTGAACTGGGCGTAGTTGCTCCGCAGTATGGGGATCTTCCGAGACCAGAGATCAAACCTGGGTCTCTTGCTTTGGCAGGCGGATTCTTTGCCACTGAGCCCCTCGGGAAGCTTTCACATGCTTTCTTGAACTTCTCAAGGCCCTGCATGCATGGATGCTTGATGCCCATGTTTCATATGTGAAGAGGTGGTGGTTCCAAGGAATATATACAGCAGAAGGGTGATGCTGTGGGAGTCAGCATCAGAACTTGGGGCTCACCGACCCCAAAGGCCGTCTTCTTTTCCTTGCCTGCTACCAGACTGGGTTGATGAGATGTCCCTCTAAAGACAGAAGCCAGGCCCTCCCAGGGACAGATGGCTTAGGACAGTCACCAGGGAAAAGGCCTGTGGGTGCCACGCAAGTCGTTTCCAGGCTCTGTCCTCCTCCTCGGGGCATCTCTGCTCCCTCCGGAAATGACTGTGACACTCTGCCCTGTTCTCTGGAGCAGCTCTTCCCAGGAGACCTTCTGTGGAAAGAGAACTGTGGGAAAACATGAGGAGTCATTTCGTGGACACGTTTCTGAGTGTCGTTCATTCTGGCAGGAAATGTGTTTATTCCCCAAAGTCCTCAGCTTTGCCTGAGTCCTGAGTTTTCAAGGGTTCATAACTCTAAGAGCTGTTTTTGGATAGGGAGGGAACCGGATATTTTTGGTACGTGATAAAGCTGTTGTGTAGAAAACAGGACCCTGATGGTAAAAGCGGCACAAGTGAATGACCTTGGCGAGGGGAGTCAGTGGGAAAAGGTTTGCACTCGGCTTCCCTGGTGGCTCAGTGGTAAAGAATCCTCCTGCGAGTGAAGGAGACAGGGTTCGACCCCGGGTCAGAAAGATCCCCTGGAGAAGCAAATGGCAACCCATTCCAGTATTCTTGCCTGGGAAATCCCATGGACAGAGGAGCCTGGTGGGCTACCTTCCACGGGGTCACAAAGAGTCGGACACGACTGAGCGACTAGACGATAATAACAGCAAGTGATACTTAGGGTGGTCCCAGGAAGATCCCTCAGCTCCTGGGGAACTTATTAAAAGTGCAGATTCTCAGGTCCCCGCCCAGGCCTACAGACTTTGAAAGTCTGGGAGTGATGTCCAGGAAACTGGGTTTTAATTAGCTCTCAAGATAATTTTCTCTGAAGTTTGAGGAGCCTAGCACCCGATGATCTTACATACGCTTGGGGTTGAACAGGAAAATCTGGTTGTGTTCCCAGGAGGGCATGCCCTTCTGAGCTTGACCTATCTTGCAGGGTGATGTATGAGCTGGAAGGGAGCATTCATTCATTTGTTGAAAATACGTATTGAGCACTTCCTGTATCAGTGCATCCACACCCTGCTCTGGGAGACTTTATATCCCATGGAGGAGGGTGGGGTGGGGTGGAGTGGGGGCTAGAGTCAGAGAGTAAAGTGTGCTCAGTTGTGCCTGACTCTTTGTGACCCCTGTAGCCCTGCAGTCCTCTATGCATGCCATAAAGTAGGGAAATCTGATGCAGGAACTGCTGCAAATGGGAATGTGACCCTGGGGTGCTGACATTTAACCCAATCAGAAGGGGAAAAAAAAGCCAAGATGCCCAAGGAAAGAGCAAGGTGAATGGATTTCCAAAGAGAGGGCACTGCCCCTGCAAAGATCTGGGGGTGGGGGAGTTGGCAGGTCAAAGAATGAAACATGGCCGGCCATGGTGGCCCGAAGGTGGTGAGCAGTGGGTAGGTAGCAGAGATTACGTTGGAGAGATAAGTTGGGGCTGATTTTCAGAACCAAAAAGAGGAGTTAAGAGTTTTGCTCTACAGATGATGAGCAGCTACCGGACGCTTTGGAGGAGGGCAAGTGATGAAGCAAAGGGTGTGACTAGGGAAAATTCTGCCAAAACTGTGATTGCTACTAAGTCAAATTTTAGTCCTTTTTTTTTTTTTTTTTTTGCTGAGGGCAGGGGGAACCAATTTAGAAAGAAAAATTGGAATCACTTTGTCAGAGTTTCTGTGTTAGTAAATGGAACAGACTTGTATTAGAAGTCTACCTCCTGCAGAAAAAACTAACACAACATTGTAAGGCAATTATATGCCAAAAAAAATATACATCCTCATTGCTTTCATTAGGTAACATTACATGTTATATGTATTACAATACTAGCTATGTATTTACCTACTAATTACATATGCTGCTACTTATAAAAAGTAAATTTTGTCAGAAGAAAGTTCAGCTTCGATGTTCATATTTTCCAGGTATATAAAGCCAAGCTCAATTGATTGCAGTTGAGCAGTGTCTGTGAGATTTGATCCAGTTCAGAAACTCAACCTCACTAATGTTGCCTGCACTGGCATTTTCTTAGCTGAGAACTGCTTACCAGGCTGTCGAAAATCGAATATATAAAAGGATGATTCATTGCTTTAGGCGTCAAGAGTCCCGGGTTTTGTCCTCTTGGTTGCATAAGTTTGAACTGACCTTGGACACGTCGCTTTGGTTTGTATTTGAGTGTCTCTGGGCAGAAGATGAGTAATAAGAATCATGGCCGTTGGGTGAGAGCTCTTCAAGACCTGAGAGAGACCACAGCCCATGCAAAGGCCCTGTGGCAGAGGGGAGCAGGTTGATAATATTATAGCAACTCAAAGGCGGCCACTGAGCGGCTGGTGAGCAGAGTGCAAGGGGCAGGTGGTCCAGGGTGCTTTCTAGAGGTAGGCGAGGATCTTGTCGGGAACTTTAACTTTTGTCTGGGGACTTCCCTGGCGTGCGCTCAGTTGTGTCAGAATTTCTGCAACCCCACGGACTGTAGCCCACCAGACCACTCTGTCCATGGGATTTTCCAGGGAAGAATACTTGGAGGGGGGGGTTGCCATTTCTTTCTCTAGTGGATCTTCCCCACCCAGGGATCAAACCCACACTCCTCACTGCAGGTGGATTCTTTACCACTGAGCGATCGGGGATAAGACTCTGCACTCCCAGGGCAGGGGGCCTGGGTTTGATCTCTGATTAGGGAACTAGAACCCCCGTGTTGCTACTCAGAGTTGCGTGCTGCAACTAAAGATCCTGCCTGCTTCTGTACTAAAACCTGGCACAGCCAAATAAATAGACAAATAAATATTAAAAAAAATTTTTATCTGATGAGTGAGGGGAAACCATTGGAGGATTTAAATTGGGGAGGGACATAAGGTTGGACTTCCCTGGTGTCTCAGTTGGTAAAGAATCTGCCTGCAATGTGGGAGACCCAGGTTCGATCCCTGGCTGGAGAAGATCTCCTGGAGAAGGAAATGGCAACCCACTCCAATGTTCTTGCCTGGGAAATCCCATGGACAGAGAGCCTGGTGGGTTACAGTTCATGGGGTTGCAAAGAGTTGGACATGATTTAGTGACTAAATTACATAATGTTGATAGATATGCTGTTTCATTGAATCCTCATAACCAATGTATGTGGTACGTAATATCCCTGTTTTTTAAAAAAAATATTTTTCTTGATGTGGACCACTTTTTAAAGTCTTTATTGAATTTGTTACAATATTGTTTCTGTTTTATATTTCGTTTTTTTTGGCCATGAGGCATGTGGGATCTTAGCTCCCCAACCAGGGATCAAACCCGTGCCCCCTTCATTGGAAGGTGAAGTCTTAACTACTGGACCACCAGGGACGTCCCCATATCTCTATTTTAAACCAATCCAGAAACTTAGGGTCGTGGAGATGAAGTGGCTCACCTTGCTGGTGGGGAGTGGAGCCAGAAGCAAAGCCACGTGCGCCTGATTAGTCCTCTGTACTCCTTATCAGCCTATTTCAATAATAATATAACAATAACCACAGTTTTAAAATGCTTTGAACTCTTAGGATGAACGATCGCCCTTGAATTACAAAGTGGTATTATGCTGCAGAAATCCGAGTGGTGATGAGATAGTGGATATGCTGGGGAAACTTTACATTTGATCTTAGCCGAAAGACGGAGAAGCAATTGCCGGGGACCTTTTAAACGGCCCCGTCTGCGTGGCTCTGGTCCAGCATCTTCAAGTTCCCTGTCGTCTGGTGGAGGGTGTCCCTGAAATAGCTATCAATGCAGAAAAGGGCTTGGTGGCTCCGGCTCGCCATTTGACACTGCTATTGTCCAAAAGGACTCATTGTCCGTGAAATGTGCCCGAGGTCTGTGCTTTCAGGAGTTTTGTGCTGGGAAATCAGATCTGGGCAGGTCATGCATGGTTTCACTGGAGCAGTCACGCCACGCCAAGTTTCTGCTTTCTCGTTGTTGGGTAGTCTGCTGGTTAAGTGGATTCTTAGAACCTGGTGGTAGAGTTCCATCTTAATTTTGAGTCCTTGTTCAGGGTTGAAATGGGGAAAACAGCTTCTGGCTTGCACACCTGGAAGCTCCTATTGGTGACGACGACACTTCTCTTCCTTTCTAGTTGACCACGTGGTTCCTGAGCCTGGGACGAGCCTGCTGGCCGCCTTCGACCAGTGGCGGGAATGGGCCGACAGCAAGTCCTGCTGCGACTACTCTCTGCACGTGGACATCACCGAATGGCACAAAGGCGTGCAGGAGGAGATGGAGGCCCTGGTGAAGGACCATGGTAGGTTGTGCCCGCCCGGCGCTCCCTGGCGGCCTTTCCTGCGCAGACCACGAGCTGCCCCACCTCTGAGGAAAAGCTGTGTGGATGGTGCCCCGAGGGGCTGGCTGCACCCGCCAGGAGGGAGGGCGTGGCCTGCAACTTGTGCTGGGCCTGGCCATGGTCAGACAACCGGTCATAGCTTATTGGTGTAAGCACACTGCGTGTGCGTGCCAGCCGGGCTGGGGAGCTGAGGGTGACAGAGGGATTTGCTCTTAAAGGAGAAGAGTGCACCTCCCAGGGAGGACTCTGGGTAATCTTAGAGGAGAGCCTGGGACCCTGAGTACAGAACTTTGGCAGCTTCTGTTTGTAAATCCAGGAGAACCAGGGTAGATTTCAGGGTGACGAGGCTCTGGAACCACATGAGGTGTCTTTTTTTTGTTCCATAGGACTATTTGGGGGAGCCAGCTTCTAAGGACTGGGTTCTGAAAGATTCCCAGGGATGTTGGGGGGATCTTAATTACCTCCAGGTGCCTCTGGGTCCCTCTTATCCACAGGAACCTTAGGGAGTTGGGTGATGGTATCAGACAACATCATCTTTGGGGGTCTTCTTGACCTTGGCTATAGACTGGAGATCACATGGGGTCACATGTTGACCTCTTTGGATCCAAATCATCAAGGAAACATCTATGCTCTATGGCTCTGGAACTTCTAGGCTCAGAAATACCATGAGCTGAGAGTAAAATCTAGGCATGGATGTGGTAGATATCTACAGATATAGTGGGAAAAGCTTAGAATGATAATCTGTAGTCTGGGGCTTATTTCTCTTCTCTTCCACAAACTAGCTGTGTGACCTTGGCCAAATCACTTAAATTTGATGAGTCTCAGTTTAACAAAAAGTTTCACATGAGGATATCTGATTAGATACCCTAAGATTCATTCCCACATGGAGGTCCCACATGAAAGAAACTAGGTAATCCTTGACCTTTCTCACTTTTGCAGATGCTGAGACTCAAATGGATTAAATGCTAATAATGAATTTACTCCACATCAGCCTGGAGGGTTCCCATAGCAACTGTTGCCTAGCAGGAGAGAAGGGCCAAAGTGTCCCAAGGCATTGAACACAGGCAGCTTCCAGCACCCCCTGTGGCTTGAATTAAGCTCTAAGGCTAGCAGGTTGTCAGTACAGCTGTTTACCCTTGTGATGGATGTTGAGCAGGGATGTTTGGTCTGGTGCTTTTGGAAGCAAGAACTCTAAAATGTCAGGGTGAGAACTGTGACATCTGCTGTTGCACCCACAGACATTTCTGAAAAATCAGCATAGAAGGCAGTCAGTTTACCGGAGAAAAGACATTTACTACAGATCTTTGAATTCACTTTCTTGTTAAAGTCACAACAGTTAGGAGCAAATTTCTTTCTAATGTTTAACTTTTAATTATGGTAGAATACAGCATAATGTGAAATTTGCTGTCTTAGTCATTTTAAATGTACAGCTCAGTGACACTGAGGACATTCCCACTGTTGTGCGGCCATCACCACCGTCCATCTCCAGACCTTTCTTTCATCTTTCCAAACTAAAACTCTGTCTCCGTTAAACTATACCTTTCCCTTCCCCCAACCCCCATTCTACTTGTTGTCCCTCTGAATTTGGCATGTAGGTGGAATCCTACAGTGTTTGTCCTTTTGTGACTGACTTATTTCACTTAGCAGAATGTCCTCAAGGCTCATCCATGTTAGATTCTAACATCCTGTGTTAGAATTCCCTTCATTTTAAGGCTGAATAATATTCCACTGTATGGATGGACATTTTGTTTAGCCCTTCATCCATGGACACTTATTTTGCTTTTACCTTTTGGCTATTTCGAACAATGCTGCTGTGAAAATGGGTGTGCAAATACTGGCAATTTAAAATTTTGATATAGTTTTAAATTTAGAGAAAACCGTAAAAATATTAAAAAGAGCCCTTAAGCACCCTAGTACCAGATTTGCCAGTTGTTTTATCACATTTATTTGCTTTATCTTTCTGCCTCTGTCTTTATCTCTGTCTCTCTTTATCTCTTCCTTTCTTCCTCTTTCTGAGTTTCTCTCTCCACACACATATGCATATTACGACTTCCTTATTCCCCAGATGATTTGGTTTATCTGTGAGTCATGTCTCCAGCTCTGTTCTTTGTCTGTCCTCTAGGAGTGAATTCCTTCCTCGTGTACATGGCTTTCAAAGATCGCTTCCAGCTCACGGATTCCCAGGTAAGAAAAGCCGGCTTTTCTTACTGGCATTTGGTACATTTGGGCCACTGCTGTTGTCTTTTTTGTTTTTTGGCAAATAGTTGCTTTCTAATGTTGCGTTAGTTTCTGCTATATAACCAAATGAATCAGCTATATGTGCACATATATCCCGTCTCTCTTGGACCTCCATCCCAGCCCTCTAGGTCATCACAGAGCACTGAACTGAACTTCTGTGCTCTATCGCAGCTTCCCACTAGCTATTTGTTTTACACCTGGCAGTATGGTACTGGCAGAAAAACAGAACTATAGATCAATGGAGCAAGATAGAAAGCCCAGAGATAAACCCATGCACCTGTGGTCACCTAATCTATGGCAAAGGAGGCAAGAATATACAGTGGAGAAAAGACAGTCTCTTCCATAAGTGGGGCTGGGAAAACTGGACAGCTACATGTAAAAGAATGCAGTGGGAGCATGTCCTGACACCACACACAAAAATAAACTCAGCGTGGACTGCTGCTGTCTCCACAGCTGCCTCCAGTGTGTGCTCACGGGAATGGTTGGTGGATGAAGTCCCTGATGTCACTCCCTTCAGGGGATGGTATGAAGCCCGAGCCCTGGCCCCTCGGGACTGGTGTTCCCAGGCATGCAATCAGGCACCTGCCTGGGCAGGTATAACTGAGAGGGGTTCTCAGACCCCCTCAGCAGACCTGGTGCAGAGCTGGTGCCACCCACCAGCTTCTCCGCGTCTAAGCCCGTGTAGGTTACACTGCCTCTGTAGATTATCTGTTAACCACTGAGAGGTCATCCTCTGCTACGTGTGACCAGAAACACTGCCCTCGGGCGTGTCAGAAAAGCTGCCCTTCATAGAAGCATCGAGGGGTCCTGGTGCTAGTCCTGGTGGTTGTCAGGGAGGTGGTGGTACTTGTGACCAGGAACACTGAGTTCCCTGTCTCTGATCCCACGCCCTCCCTCTCTCAGATCTATGAAGTCCTGAGTGTGATCCGGGATATTGGAGCGATTGCCCAGGTCCACGCGGAAAACGGCGACATCATCGCAGAGGTGCGTGCATCCGCGTTGTCACCGCCACCGGACCCCCTGGGCGAGACGTAGGCTTGAGGGAGTGGAGGGGCTGCTGTAGCTCACCTCTGGGGGGTACCGTGCTCACAGTCTGACAGCAGCATGAAGATCGGAGACGCACACGCCCCTTGATGTGTTCTCAGGACGAACAGGCTTTCCATAGAGAAGTCCTTTCTCTCAGTGCTGTGATGTGGCTGCCTGCGGGGAGGCAGATGTGGACACCCACATACAGACATGTCACACTGAAGCCCAGGACTGGGATGTGTTGGCTTTTAGCATCCTAGGGGATAGCTGTACTGCTGGGGGGGCTGTAACTGATCTGTCATAACTCACGCAGGACCGGGGATGGGGTACCAAGCCCTCTCTTTGTGGGGTCTTGGGATGAGGGTCAAAAGTGCCACTTTAATTCTTGGTCATGCTGCATGGCATGTGGGATCTTAGTTGCCCGATCAGGGATCAAACCCGTACCCTCTGAATTGGAAGTGTGGAGTCGTAACCACTGAACCGGAAGGAAAATCCCAGCAGTTCCATTTTGATGTCTCATCGGAGTAACTTTTACCCAGCTCTTGGCAATCAGGCTCATGTGGGATCCGGTTCCCCCTGACAGCCTTGTTATTGTTCAGTTTGTGTCCAGCTCTTTGTGACCCTGTGGACTGCAGCATGCCAGGCTTCCCTGTCCTTCACCATCTCTCAGAGTTTGCTGTCCATTGAGTTGGTGATGACATGCAACCATCTCATCCTCTGTCATCCTCTTCTCCTGCCTTCAATCTTTCCCATCATCAGGGTCTTTTTTAATGAAGTCGACTCTTCGTATCAAGTGGCCAGAGTATTGGAGCTTCAGCTTCAGCATCAGTCCTTCCGATGAATATTCAGAGTTGATTTCGTTTCGGATGGACTGGGTTGACAGCCTGGTTTTCTTTCAACATTGCAGGAGCAGCAGAGGATCCTGGATCTGGGCATCACAGGCCCTGAGGGACATGTGCTGAGCCGGCCTGAGGAGGTGAGTGCCTGCTGAATGGAGGGGAGGAATCCGTGTTCTGGGGTGGTGCCGCCAGAGCCACAAAGCGCCCACTTCCTGCCTGTTGAGAATGTTGGTTTTTTTCCCCTCGGATGCTGATTCTGGTCCCTGGAGAAGTCACAGTCGGCCACTGAGAAGTGTCTACACAGGCACAGTGAAGTGTTAGATTGTGCTGTGGGGTAAAGCAGTGTGGCTTGTTTAACCTAAAGACTCCTCTTTCTGGCTTTCATTCTCCAAGCCCTTGGAGAACAAACAGCGTTTATTAGCATCCAGCAATAGGGGTTTTGTGGTTCATAACTTAGGGCCTCCAACATCCTGCCATAAAAGCTCTTGTAAGTATCTAGAAGGCAGAAGGGAGATTGTAAGTGTTTCCATGGTAAGTCTACACGGAGTATAGCACAATTAGCAGAGTGTGGTAGACTGAATCTTTCACAGTCGAGGGAGGAGAGTTCAGAGCAGGGTTCTTGCTGGCCCAGAGTCGAGAGTCACTGCTTTGGATGGTGAAGCTTCTGAGTGAGAAGGAGGGCTTACATCTTACGTGACAGAAGAGTCTGTTTTTCTAAATGAGAATCTGTGGCCTCAATACTTTTCAGGAGCTAGCTCTTTGAGGAAAGCTTCAAGGTCAGGCTTTGGAGTTCCTGGTGGCCCTGAGCAAAGAGGATGCTGGGGAGTCTGATGGAAGTGAAGAGACTCTGTCCTGGGAAAAGGGACAGGCAGAGAAGGCAGATAAAATTGCCATGTGGATGACAACTTAAAATTAGGATTTTTCCTCCCAGAAACAGGTGGTGGAAGATGCTGGGTCAGAGGGGTATGGATGGGACCAGGACCTCCAAGTCACAGCATTTCAGGGCTAGGACATCCCCACTGAGTCTGGGGAGGGGTCACTTGGGTTAGGACTCGTGGGTGCAGGGGCTCTGCTCCCCCTAGAAGAAAATGGGTTCTGAGCGTGTGGCGTTGAAGGTGCCATCAACAGGCTGCCTGGGGTGAGAAGTGCCTCGTCTCATCAGACTTTTCCCCAGGCTTTGTGGGGAGGGATGAGACTGAAAAAGGAGAAAGAATGTAGGAAAGAGGCAGAAAAAAGCAAAAGCGGAAATCACTTGGAATGTTTGCACACACTGAGGGCTTAATTTCCTTGTTCTGCTCTTCTTACCACATATGTGCACACATACACAGACATGTACAGATATATATACACACACACTTATACACAGAGCATCACAGACACACAGACATATACACAGACACTCATAGTCACATACACTCACCGTTACATCCATATACATACACAGACACACAGACATATACACATACAGAGTCACAGAAACAAGAGTTGCAGACACAGAGACACAAATGTTACAGATAGCCACACATATACACAGACACACACACAGAGTCACAGACACACATAATTGCACACATGTGCATACATAGACACAGGCACACCAGGGCACCTTCATTACCATCTGAGACTCAGGACATTTCCTTCAGATGAAAGGATAGCTGTGTCCAGGGGACCCGTTCCATTCTGCTTGCCTGTGTGTGGTGCTGCCTGGAGGCAGTCTTTGTCACCTGGGTCTCTTGTGTAAAGAAATCACAGGGGTGTGACGTTCAGCATCAGAGAGCTAGCAAGTGCAGTTCCTGCCTGCCCCCCTGACCACCCTCAGTGTACACACACACACACACACACACACACACACAGCCGGGAGCCCAAGCTCCATGGGAAGCCAGTGGCCTGTGTAACCAGGTGATGACACCTGGGGCTGGGCTCCATTAGAATGTTTACTCTTCACCTTTATCCGGGAGCCTGGCTGAGAGCCCCTCCCCTCTAGTCCCAACCGCCCAGGAGAGAATAGGAAGAGGATGTTGTCTTCCGAGAGAGAGTAAACGTCTCTCCTCCTGTGGCCCAGGGCTCCTAGTGAGAGCCGCCTGCTGGTTTCCATTTCAGAGCCTTCCTGGGGGCTTGCTTCCCCTCTTACCTTTCCCACCACTGCAATGCCTCCCCAGGTCCCAGCACACCCCCATCAGAAAGCGAGTCCTCCCTGGGTTTATTGAACAGGGCACAGCTTTCAGAGAAGAGGGGGCCTGGTTGCCATTGTGACCACAAACATCACCTGTTTTTCCACCTTGAGGCATGGGACATTTCTTTTGCAGCCGCTGCTGTGCTGGGACCCCTAGAATCCTCCTTTGGGAGCTGGCAGCCCCAGAAGCACTCCAATATGGGGAGGTCCTGGCTCCTTGAGGGGGGTCCTGTGGTCCCACAAGAGGCTGCTTTTGGGACTGTCTGCTTTCCAGGGGCACCTGCTGCTGAGCTGATTCAGAGGCACTGACTCGGGGCCAGGCACAGTCTGCGGTGCTTCTGCGCAGATGCATCCTTAGGACAGCCGTGTGAGCCGCCAGGCGCCAGCTGGCACCTTCTCCTTTGGCTCCCGGGGATGGTTTTTCAGTTCAGTGGTAGGGATCTGTTAACAGCAGTGTGTTATATTCTACGTAGGGCTCCCCGGTGACTCAGATGGTAACGGAGGCCTAGGTTCGATTGCTGGGCCTGCCATTCAGGAGACACAGTTTCGATCACTGGGTCTGGAAGATCCTTTGGAGAAGGGAATAGCTACTCTCTCCAGTATTCTTGCCTGGAGAATTCTATGCACAGAAGAGCCTGGCGGGCTGTATAGTCCATGGGGTCATAAAGAGTTGGGCACGACTGAGTGACTAACACTTTTATTTTTCACATACTATACATAAGCAATAAAGAGAATAAAACACGGCGGCATATTGAGGGAACTGAGCTTTAGTATGAAGTTAGGGAGATGCTGCCAGTGCAAAAAACACAGTTAATAACATAATTCCTTCCTGGTTTCATGATCCATTGACAGCGTCCTGATGGTTAACTTGAACTTGATTTGAACCACCACACAAAGCATACTCTTCTTTCTGCTGCTCTTTCCAACTCACCGAGTGAGATGGCTGGTAGGATTTCCCCCAGTTTTCAGCAGAGAAGATTGAAAGGGAGACAAATAGGGATGCAGAAATCTATTAATAGAAACCTCCTGCCCATCAATTGTACCCAAGAGCTTACTTTGATGGAGGCACTGCTCAGCCTGTAGGGGATGTCGAGATGGATGAGAAAGTGGTCCTTTGTGAAGGGAATTTTGGATGAGCTGGGGGGTAGGGGGTGGAGAAAGGGGGAGATGCAGAGTAAGTAGATGGGGCGACATGTGATGGGGTTCTGAGCCAGTAAGAGATGTAAGACTGGTGTCGGGGGAGTTCCCTGTTGGCCTAGTGGTTAGAATTCTGGGCTTTCACTGCCGTGGCCCAGGTTCAGTCACTGGTTGGGGAACTGGTATCCTTCAAGCCACGCTGTGTGGCCAAAAGTAATAACAAAACAAAGCGTGTGCGTATGCGCGTGGGCGCGCGCGCGCACACACACACACACACACACACACACACACAGCCTGTTGTCTGGGTGGAGAGTGGGGGCCCAGCGGTGAAGGTGACAGAATTTTTGATGGAGAAGGAAAACTCCTAACTGGCATGGGATGACCGGGGTATGGTCATAACTTGGGGTGGCTCATCTTTAAAAGCAGAAAGCATGGCTCAGGTGACCGCTTAAATCCCTGACAGCTCTATAAAGAGACAAAGACAAAGTTTTATTTTTAAACATAAACTGTTGTCATAATACTGAAGCCAGAGTTCCGTGTGCCTTAGACAATGTACGTTTTCTAGCGGAGGCACACACGTGTACCGGGCTTCCCTCGTAGCTCAGTTGGTAAAAAATCTGCCTGCAATGCAGGAGAGCCTGGTTTTATCCCTGGGTGGGGAAGATCCCCTGGAGAAGGAAATGGCAACCCACTCCAGTATTCTTGCCTGAAGAATCCCATGGACAGAGGAGCCTGGTGGGCTACAGTCCATGGGGTCACAATATGTACCTGCAGAAGGGTATGCGTGAATCCTTCCATGGTTCTGGGTGAAACTTGGAGAGGTGGGGTTTACATGACCTTTTCTCTCCACGACATGACCTTACTGCCCAGCTGGGGAAGGGGAGGGGTCAGACCTCAGTAGATGAGCCAATCCAGACAGGGCTTTGGGACCCAGATTCTCCCACCAAACCAGTCTTAACAGAAACACTCCTCTTGGGGAGGGGCCCCCTGGAACTGGCACTTCTGCTCCATTTATTCCCTGATGAGCCGACTGTGAGTTCTGGTTCACCCCAGGCAGTCCTGGTCCACACCCATTGCCCCGGGCAGTTATGAATAGCGCCTCTGTTTGCTTTCAGAAGAGTCTTATAAGATAGGGACCGTGAATTCAGGCAGTCACCTGCACCCCTGGAAAGCATGCAGATTCTAGTGGAGTCCTGTTTGCACAACCCCTGTGTACTTTTTGAGGTGACCCAGAGATGCAAGACGTCCCTCCTTCACGCTGCCCGGCCAGAGGCCCTTCTGTTGTAACTGGAGCCACGGAGAGGGGAGGGTGATCATTCAGCTATGCCAGGAATTAAAAACACTTGGATGTTTAATGAGCTTTTTCAAGGGCTGTTTGGTTTGCCTGTGGGTCTCTAGACATCTCTCTTCACATAGTTGAAGCCCAAGAGACCAAGTATGAAGGATGCTGTCCTCTTATATTAAATTAGATCACCCGTTAGCGCAGTTTACAGAACTTCATTTCTTGGCTGAGCTCCCACAGAGATTGGTTAGCTAAGATGATTCAGTCTGGAGCTGGTCATGTCTTATGAAAAGTGGCAGCTCTTTATGGAACCAGCCTAGCTTTAACCATTAACCTGAAATGAAGTCACTTACTTGCTCAGTGAACATTTTTGAGCACCTGCTGGGTACCAGGAGCTACCCTGGGAACGGCCTAGAGGAAGCAAAAAATTCAAGGAAGACCCAGCCCCTCGCCTGGAAGAGTTAGTGGAAGTCAGCCTTTTGCCAGAATTTGGGAGGGAGCAAGAAGCTTTTTGAGGTCCTCTGTCTCATCATTGCATTTGTTCCTTCAGCTGCCCATGCTCAGCACACACTGCTGATTCCTCTGTACGATACAGTGACCTAAGAACTCGTCTTACCTGATCAGGTGTTAAAAGTAATCCCTTGGGGTCTTTGGAATATCATTCACTGAAGTGAACAAGTGAAAGTGAAAGTCGCTCAGTCATGTCCAACTCTTTGTGATCCCATGGACTGTAGCCTGCAAGGCTTTTCTGTCCATAGAATTCTCCAGGCCAGAATTTTGGAGTGGGTAGCCTATCCCTTGTCCAGGGGATCTTCCCAGCTCGGGGATCAAACCCAGGTCTCCCGCATTGCAGGCGGATTCTTTATTGTTTAAGCCACCAGGGAAGCCCCATCCCTTGGGGTTTTTGGACGATCATTCACTGAAGCATCAGGTTTAAAGAATCAGGTTATTGGTTAGAGCAGCCCTCCCATCTCGTGTGGAAGGGCGTACCAGTCTATGGCTGGTGATGATGGGTTTGCCCATACAGAGGGGCCTTTGGTTTACACAGATCTGCCTGCCCCTGTTCCCAGAGTGCTGTGAGATCGCATTGTTCTTTGGGTGAGGCTGACTTCATTTTTGAGCATGGGACTGAAGCCCAGCACAAAAATTCCATCACTGGATATCTTGACTGGAGAGACCACACAGTTGGAGTGAATGCACCAAACTGGGAGCCATCAGTTTCCAGGCATGGTGACTCTCAAACGTTAGCAAGCATAAAAATCACCTAGAGTTGGTAAGACCCACCCTTCTGGGTCCCACCCCCAGAGCTACTGACCCTTTGGATATGGTGGAAGGGCCTGAGACTCATGAGAAAATGCATTCCTTTACAGACTCCAGGTGGCTGCTTATCACACCTAGAACCATCCACACGGGTCAGCTGGGCAAGTCACTGGCCTTGCCCTCCGTGCCGCTGGGGGTAGAGCCCTGAGCACACATTGGTTTCTGGTTCACTGTAGCCCCTCCCTGTGGGTGGAGGGCAGCCATGAGCTCAGGGAACTCACAGAGCAGTGGACACAGTTCTCACAGTGGGATGCTCTTCTGCAGGTCGAGGCTGAAGCCGTGAACCGTTCCATCACCATCGCCAACCAGACCAACTGCCCTCTGTACATCACCAAGGTGATGAGCAAGAGCGCAGCGGAAGTCATCGCCCAGGCCCGGAAAAAGGGTAAGTGTTGCCCGCGGTCCCACTGTGCGCTTGCAGGTTCTGGAGGGGTCGTAGGTGGGGGCAAGGGCTGCTTTTCCAGCTCCTCCTGCCAAGCGGGTCGCAGCGCTCTCATCACTTTGCAGCATTAACCTAATTACATCTGGGTGCGGCGGGCAGCTCCTGTTTCTCGCTCTGTTCCGGGGCTGCAACCCTGTTGGTATCTATTTAAAGCTACGCACAGCGCAGGGTGGGTGGGCCACACGCTTTGCCTCCTGCTCTCACTTCTGTAGAAGAGTTGGATTTAATTTGATGCAGTCTAAATAAACCAGGCACATACACAGATGACGTCAGTTTCCATCTGCCGCAGAATCCTGGGGAACCTTCCATTGCAAAGTGCGCTTCCGCTCTGTGGCTGGGAGTGATTTCCGCTGGCCTGTGCAAGAGAGGCTTGTGGGGGCGTGGCTCTGCCCCGCCCCCCGGCTCCCCTGCCCCCACCCCACCATCATATCCTGTTCTGGTGCCCCAGTGGCGCCCTGTAGATGGTGGTGATATATTCTGAGCTGAGGCTGGCTCTTATTTCCAGCGAGAAGGTTCTTGGAAACTAATCTACTAAGTACCGTTCCAGGGGATGTGCCCTGATCACCTTATCCATTATGAATGCAACACAGCCCTACTGTAGCTACCTTGACTATGAGTTCGGTAATCACACCACCGTGGTCTCTGCTTGGGAGTGTAGCTCAGTATACAGAAAGGGAGACTGATTCTCTTTAGTGGACTTGAGGTGGATCTTGGCTGGATCTGGACAAGACTATCATAGAAGGATCTTCCCTCCCTCCCTCCTTTCTTCCTTCTCTCCCTCCATTATATTTCCCAACCCTATTGTCTCTGCATTTCTCCATCTCTGTCTCCATTTCTCTCTCTCTCTCTCTCTTGACTTCTGGCTTTCTCCTGGTCTCTGCATTACTTTCTTGGTCTCCCTGTCTCTCTCTCTCATTCTTTTTTGACTTTGTTATCTCTCTTCATGTATCTTTTTTCTTCTCCATTAGCAAGGGAGCCCTCTGACCTCTCTGGTTTGTTCTCTGGTTCTCAGTGAGATGTGACCCACATGGATCAGGAGGATTTTTTTTTTTTCACTGGTGGGTGAGTTGGTGCAAGACTTAGAACAGATTGCTCAGTGACCACTGAGTCAGCTTGTCCCAGGAGCTGATGGCTTCTAGATGGCCCTAGCAATGAATTCCTGGCCCCTGTCCTCTGAGCGCCCTTGGGGTCTCAGTCCTCAGGCGCTGCATGAAATGGTTGCTGCATTTACCAGTGTTTCAGAAACCTGCCCCCTCCTGGCAGCTAGAAGGAACTGCCTTTTTGCAATGGAACCTTCTCTGGTGGCTGAGTTGGTAAAGTATCTGCCTGCAATGCAGGAGACCACCTGCAATACAGGAGACCCAGTTTTGATCCTTGGGTGGGGAAGATTCCCTGGAGAAGGAACTAGCAACCCACTCCAGTATTCTTTCCTGGGAAATCCCATGGACAGAGGAGCCTGGTGGGCTCCAGTCCCTGGGTTTACAAGAGTCGGACATGACTTAGTGACTAAACTATCACCACCACTGTTCACTTACTTAGAATTGGCTTTGAATTATGTTTCTAGGAGATGTGGATGATTACTGCTGGTGACCCTCCCTCATTGGGGCCCTTTATCACCCATATCTGTAATGTGGGATTCAGCCTCAGCACCCAGCGCTAATCACAGTATTGCTGCTTCCATGTTGAAGGGAGACAGCTGGCGCTGTGTCTGAAAACGGGAAGCTGGGCACAGCTTGTTAGTAACCATACCCTACCCAGATGAAAATAAGAAACAGAAAGTTAAGCAAACATTTTAATATAGTTTCAATATAATTAAGCTTTCAATTTATCAGAATTTGGACACTGCAGCCATGCTTTCCAATTCCAGCTCTCACTTGTCAGCATTGCAAAATGGAAGTGTCTCAGTCTGGGGCAGGTGGCCCTGCTCCTGCTCTGGGGCTGGTGGCCGTGGTCCTGCTCTGGTGCTGGTGGCCCTGGTCCTGCTCTGGGGCTGGTGGCCCTGGTCCTGCTCTGGGGCTGGTGGCCCTGCTCCTGCTCTGGGGCTGGTGGCCCTGCTCCTGCTCTGGGGTTGCAGAGCTCTGGGCTCGGGGCCTGCCCTGCCAGCAGTGCTGCGGCTCCTCCTTTCTGTGTCTCAGCTCTTCCATTTGCTGGAGTGTGTTATTAGAGTCCAGGCCCCCTCTGATACTCTGCGATTCAGCGCCCCAGGATGTCCCCGTGTTTTCCTTATGATCTGGAACCTGCTTGTGTGTTGGGGTCTGAGCACCAGGAAGGGACTTCAGTCTCTTCGTTCAGAACCTTCAGGGTGAGTCCAACTGTGCTTGCTTGTGGTTCCCAGGGTGGCTCTTGCATTCAACAGCTCTTGCCTCACAGACCTTGAAAGCCTTTGCTTTAGATGAACTTGAGCCACCAGAAAGGAATTTCTGGTGCATCCTGGTGTTAATTAGCAAGAAGGAGAAATCTTAGCCTGCTTGTAGGCTCCTTCCGTCTTCTGGGAACTTAATTCCTTTGGGAGGCTCTGGGGCAGGAATTTCTATACTTGCTTTACTCTGCAGCTGAGTAAACTGGGGCTCAGAGCTGCTGAAATGTGGAATTGGGCTTTTATCATCTGCATCTGACCTCACGCCACGAAGGTCCCCACTAATGTCTGACTCACCTTCCTGTTTTGAGATTGTTTTAATATGGGAGATGCTGTGGCTATCTCCTTGGTATCTGTTGGTGTTTAGTTCCTTAACAAACTGGGTAGAAACTGGAGTCTGACACTGGGCAAAGTCATGGAGAATGTGGAAGCCAGGATTCCCCAGTGACCAAGAAGAAAATTAATATAAAGCTGCATTTGAACGTTAGTGCTCTGGGATCAGCATCCTGTCCTGAGACAACTCCCAGCTCCACTAGGCATTAGCTTGTGATACTGGGCAGATAACTTACCATCTTTTGGTCCCTTTTTCCGATCTAAATGGGGAGGATAGTAACAGTGATAATCTCCTAAGGCAAGGGTGATGCCTAAATGAGATGCTGCCCACAAGGACTATACCTTGTGTATACAGGTAATACAGGTAATAACTGTACCTGATACTGTGACGATTGAAGAGTGAGCATGTGTTAGTCACTCAATCGTGTCTGACTCTTTGCAACCCCGTGGACTGTAGCCCACCAGGCTCCTCTGTCCTTGGGATTTTCCAGGCAAGAATACTGGAGTGGGTTGCCATGCCCTCCTTCAGGGGATCTTCCTGACCCAGGGATTGATCCTAGGTCTCCTGCATTGCAAGTGGGTTCTTTACCATCTGAACCACCAGGGAAGCCCAAGATGGAGCCTGAGTGAGGCCTGTTTTCAGGGGTTTTTCACCGGCCACAGCATCATGCAGGCTCCCCACAGAGCCAGCGTCACCACTGTTGTCTCCTCCATCCTGTCATCAGCAGGACAGCCTCCCATCAAGCCCAGTCTGCAAACAAGGAAGTGAGGGAAGACACAGCCAGCACCAGAATACCTTGGGCAGTTTTCACCCTTCCAAAGAGCTTAGACCCTGGTCAGTTTCAAAGGCCGATGTCACAGAAGGGACACCGAAATGTGAAAATGGACTATCTTGCCCCAGATCATCCAGCCTGTAGGAAATAGAACCCTTAGATCTAGACTCTGGGCCGGTTCTCTTTTCATGAAGAATCCATTGTAGGGATTTCTCTCACATAGGCTCCCTCCGACTGCATTTTATCCACGTGTGATCTTGAACATGGTGCCGATGCCTTCTGTGTGTGAGTGGTGGCACGTGGGCAGTGCCCAGTGACCTCATCTGAGCCGCATCCCTCCCCCAGCCCCAAACCCAGATGCAGAAATGTTCACAACCCAAACTTGAGACAGGACTTCCTGTGCCCTGAGGTTCAGTAGGAATGGCGGGGGTGTAATGAGAAGCACATGGTCAGGGGCTCTGTGAGGACCATCCCAACTTGGGGACGAATCCTTTGTGTTAAGTTGATGCACAGCCTAGTAATCTTGAGCCCAGAGAGTGCCCCATTGGTTGGGCTGTGAATGAATCTCACCAAAATTTGTGTTAGGCAGGTCTCTGGAGAAACAGAACCAATCTCTCCCTCTCTCTCTGTCACACACACACACACACACACACACACACACAGATTTTAAAGAATTGGCTCATGCATTGTGGGCACTGGCAAGCAAGTCTGCAGGTAGGCTGCTTGGTTGGAGATTCAGGAAAGCATTGATGTTGCAAAGGGAAGTTGTCTGGAGGCAGAATTCCTCCCCCATCAAGCCCCTCATCTCAATAGCAGATGCTTGCAAATTGGGAGTTCAATTCAGCCACTTGCGGGGTGAGACCCTGGGTTCAGTTTTCAGTCGGTTTGGCTTTGAGGCCGCTGGACATGAGGATCTCTTTTGGAGTAGATGTAGAAACTTTTGGTTCATTTATGGAATCCTTGAGCTGGGAATTTGAATCCCTGAGTCATCCTTGTCTTTCCTCACTTTGTCCAGTGTAATTAAGAACAACCAGCTAATGCTGTCATACTCAGGTTGATAAAAACGTTCTAAGGTATCAAATACACAGTCACCCAGAACTTTGCCTCTTGTAAGCACTTGATGTGGTATTTTGTGCATTTCTTTTGCCTCATCATCCTGTGCACTGCCAGCGCTGTCTTATAACTACTGAAGTGGAGTCATTAGTACCTTAAATCAGGTTAGAGAACCAATTCCAGAAACCCCAGGACCCATCCAGAAAACTTTTAAGATTCTGTTCCTTTAGAATTACTCTCGGTACCAGAATCTGACAGGGTTATCCGTGCACAGGGCCTGGGGTGTTGAGTTCTGGCCTGGGGTCTCTGAGAGGAGAGAGAGAGTGGTGTGTGTGTATGTTTCAGTTCAGTCCAGTCGCACATTCATGTCCGACTCTTTGCGACCCCATGGACTGGAGCATGCCAGGCTTCCCTGTCCATCACCAACT